CGGGTGGTTTGTTGACGGGTGGTTTGTTGACGGGTGGTTTGTTGACGGGTGGTTTGTTGACGGGTGGTTTGTTGACGGGTGGTTTGTTGACGGGTGGTTTGTTGACGGATCGTTTGTTGACGGATCATTTGTTGACGGGTCGTTTGCTGAAGGCTCATTCGTTGGTGGCTGGTTCGTGCGCTGCTCATTACTGCGCTGCTCATTAGTGGACTGCTCATTAGTGGGCTGTCCGTTTGTGGACTGCTTGTTGGTGCAGTGCCCCCCTGGTAATTGCCCCCCGACGAGCTGTTCCCCCTCCATGATCACCTCGTTCGAGCTCTCCTCGGACGTGATCTCATCTAGGTCAATCACGATGATTTTCTTTTCATCTAGAGAACAGTGGCTCCTGTCTGCGGCAGCATATTGGGGGGCCACTCGCTGCCTCTTCTGAACCCCAAAAATGGATTCCTCGATCGTCCGCCTGCTCTTACCAAAGTGTTGTTCATTCCTTGCCGTCAGGAAGTTGTTCACGGCTCGGTTCATTTTCGACTGGGACAGCGACTGGGAGAGAGACTTTGACAGAGACTTGGAAAGAGATTTGAATAGAGACTTGGACAGAGACTTGGACAACTGCTGCGATATGCATTGAAGCTGCCCACGCGATTGCGACTGTCCACACGATTGAGACTGTCCACAGGATTGAGACTGTCCACACGATTGCGACTCTCCACACGAGTGAGACTGTCCACACGATTGAGACTGTCCACACGATTGAGGCTGCCCAGAGGACTGAGACTGCCCAGGCGATTGAGGCTGCCCAGAGGACTGAGACTGCCCAGGCGATTGAGGCTGCCCAGGCGATTGAGGCTGCCCAGAGGACTGAGACTGCCCAGGCGATTGAGGCTGCCCACGTGACTGCGACTGTGGCACCCCCTTCAAGGTTTCCAGAAAAGGAACATCGCTCCTGTTGCTATAACTGAATTCACTCGCATCACTGTGCACCTTAAAGAAGGAGCAACTTTCCCTGTTGCTCACGTTATGCCTCCTGGCCTTTCTACTGTGACCATGCAAGTAACTCCTCCGATCAGTGGCACTATTCTGGTTATCCATGTGTGCCACCCTATCACTGTATCTAGATGTCATTTTTATGTTGCCCCCCTTGTTGTGATGAATCGAGTTGGAGACGTTTTCTACGATTTCATTTTCTGTGCAGCTCCCCGTAGAAGAACTTAAATAGTTTTCTTCTCCTCCTATGGGGATTCCTCTACAAAGACGTCTTGGTGATCCCCCTTTTTGACTGTTTTCTTGGTCACTCGTTGTGCTGTCGCTTATGAGTATGTGAATGTGTGTGAGGTCCCCTTCGCTTACCGTGTGTAGGCTTGGTGGAGATTTCCTCGTGAAGGGCGGGACCTTCAGGGTGACGCTGACGTCGTGCAGGCTGTTCGTTTGAGAGGTCCGGTCGGTATGATCAGTCATGCGGTCGATCTGACTACTGCTGATGGTGTGGCTCGTCTCGCTCGTGCTACCTCTTTCGATCGTGTCGTTGCTGTCGACCGAATCGACAGAATCCACGGTATCGCTTGTTGAGTTCGTCTCGTTTGGCTTATTCGCCTTATTCAACTTATTCGCCTGGCTCACCTCGTCCGCCTCGTCCAGCGCTCCCACCCCCAACTTGAACGTATAGAATGACTTGACGAAGGAGCATATGAGAAGCTCGTCCGGGTAAGCCAAATCGCGCATTTTTATCATCTTCTTCTTCATCTCCTCGATTAGGGAGACCTTAGAAGGAATGATATTCTCCATACTTACCAGCTTGCTGTTAAAGAAGATCTTATGAAAGCTCTTCTGGTCCTGTTTCACAAAACTGAGGTACAAGTTACATATGCACTCATCATTTCGTTTGCAGAAAAAAAGCTGCGATGTGTATTTATGAATTTTATTCCTATCTGCGATGATCCTAATGAGAAGAGATATCAAGTAGGCACACGAGTGGATATGCCTTATGTGCTTAAAAAAATCGACAAACTGAGTTATGTTCATTCGGAAGACATAGGAGTAGTCCCTAATGTCGTAATGTAGTTTGTTCAGATCGATTCTAAAATAGTTGTCATTCTTCAGAAACTTGTATACCTCTTCATTTGTAATTATATAGCTACATGTGTCCTTGACTCGGTAGGAGTGATTTATTCTCAGTTTGATGTTATATCTGTGAATCATGAAAAAGATGAGGGCGTCAAATGTATCCTTGAGAACCTCTTTCACATTAGACACTCTGTTTCCTTTCACCTTCAAGCTCTGTATGGTGCTGCCTTTCCCGGTGTCATTTTTGCGTTCCCCAGTGTCATTTCTTCCCTTCTTAGTGGCATCTCCTTTATCAGTGGCACCTTCTCCTCGATTCTTTACGAATCGATTCAATTCTTCCCTTTCGATTCCTTTATTTTCGCTCAAATTCATCGGTGCAGTCATTTGAGCCTCACTCCGCAAGAACCACACGAACACGCACCCTTGGTAGGTATTCTTGCTGATCTTCAAAAAGGTGAATTTACAATTTTTTATTACGAAGTGGTTGTAGTGGAACACGTCCAGCAACTCGTCGTACAGGGTTAGCACGTTCATGTCAAAGAGGCTGTACGTGGTGGTTTTCGCCGCGGTCTGCCCCATGATTTTCCCTGTTTCCTTCGATCCGCTGTCCTGAGTTGCCCCTCCCGCAGTTGCTCCCTCTGCTGCTGTATGGCCCATTCTCCCCTCTCGACACTTCAGCGCCCTGTGATACTTGCTCACCGACACGTTATAGCTGCTGCTCATCCGCAGCCATTGCCGAATGACGTCATATGACAGGGAATGACACCACTGATCCATGTTTCGTCTCTTCCTTGACGCTCCCCGCTGGGAGAAAAAAGAAAACGCACCCAGGTGGTGAAGTCATCAAAGTGGTGAGGCAGTCCAAGTGGAGAAGAAGTCCAAGTGGAGAAGCAGTCCATGTGGGAAAGTCATCCAAGTGGTGAGGCAGTCCATGTGGGCAAGTGCTCCCCTTTACGACAAAACGCGGCGGTCGCTTGAATTTTCTTTTCTCGTGCACTGATTTTGGCTTATTTTTGCAAATGCGTCCAAGGAGACAAATGCAGGGTAGAAGGGCGATGCATTTTTCGAGAAAAAACGTGTACATCTCGGGAGTGCGTTGCAAAGGGGCCTACGCGGAGGTCGCGGAGAAAAGGCATACATAGGAGTATTCACAGGAGTATTCACAGGAGTATTCACAGGAGTATGCACAGAAGTATGCACAGAAGTATGCAAAGAAGTATGCAAAGAAGTATGCACAGATGTACAGAGGGACGCACAAAAAGACGCGCACAGGGATGCACAAAAGGGTGCACAAAACAGCACACACAACGTACACATGCAGCGCGGAGGCAACAGATCGGGCAGCGAAAAAACCTCACCGATGGAAATCAAAACAAATGCGGAGAAAAGTTGGAAAAATGCCTGAACAGGCAAGAAAAAAAAATACACAAATGAATAAACACAAATAAGCACATTAATATACAAGAATACAAACATACAGAAACAGAAAAACACAAACACACACATACACACGTGAAAACCATCACAGCAGAGTCACATTTTTCTGGCAACGCAAAACAGTCACACGTAGGCGAATAAAGGGTTCAACAATTGCAAAGGACTTGGATGCAGGATCGCCCTACTCCACAGACGGGAAATACTGATGTAGAAGTAGCTCTGTTTTTCATAAGAAGTGTGTAAAGGTTTTTTTTTCCGTGTTTCGCCTTTTTCGCATTGGGGGAAATTTGACAGCTCTAAAGTTTTGCTCATGCCCCTCACATCGCTGGTGTAGCTTAAGTTGGTTTGGCGCTACAGCCGGATCTGCCACATCGCTGTGTTGTTTTGCTCGTTACTCTTACTTTATTTCTCGCTGTTTCTATTTTTACACGTGTTGCACACGCTGCTGCCGCGAAATGACGCATGCTCCATTTTTTCGGTAACGCAAAAAAATTGCAAATTTGTCTAAGGTGCAATTCTCATTAGCTTAATTTTTCTGTTCACCGCTCCGCCGCGTTGGCATATTTCCTCTTTGGCGCTTACCGCTCCCCATTTTGCCCCCCTCTCTATAAAACAACGCAGATGTGTCTTTTAAGGCTGCATGTATACAAGAGGATCCGAAACGAGGCGCCCGTTTGGAGACGTTGCCTTTGTCGTTCTGTCTCCCGCGCGCTCACGTATTCACGCATTCGCTCTATCGTTCGCTTGGTCGTTCACGCGTATGTCCCTCTGAGGAGTAAAAGCATACGTGCAGTAACTGTAGGTTTATATTTGCCCCTTTGACCACGCATTCTCTTAGACATATGCACATTTATTTTCTTCTCTTCAAATTATGCGTGCCTGGTACCCCCCCCCCCCATTTGGGAAAACAATCTGGGCAAACACTTCGAACCCATGCACACGTGTTTTGCTATGCGGGGTGAACACAGCTGTTAGCGTGCATGTGTGCATATGATCGCGTAGTTCTCTGTTCTGGTTCGTTTTCTTTTCCTCGCGAAGGGTTAATTCGTTAGGGTTGTTTCACCCAGTAAGGCGCTTCATTTTATGCGCTCACTTCCCAGGGCAGCATTCTTTCCCTCCAGTCCAAGGTCTCACCCCGCTAAAGGTGCGACGCAGTAAAGTATGCGGCCAATTTGTATTCCTCGTATCTGTGCATACACACACAGTATGACCCGTAGG